ATCTAATGAATAAGTACTAGTACCTAATAAATAAGCACTAGTATCTAATGAATAAGTACTAGTATCTAATGAATAAGTACTAGTAACTTTACAAAAGACACTAGTACTTAAAGAATAAACACTAGTACCTAAAGAATACGCACTAGTAGATAAAGAATAAGCACTAGTACCTAATGAATAAGTACTAGTACTTAATGGAAAAGATACTAGTTTCTAAAAAATAGGTACTAGTACCATGAAAATAGATACTAGTACGGCTTATAGATTCAATGTTACAACGGCTTTCCATACCCGGTACACATTTAGTTCACGAACGAGATATGTACCAGTTCAGTCACTTCATTCACAAACGAGATCAGGGTTGCCAGGTTTTCACAACAAAACCCGCCCAATGGCTACTCAAAACTAGCCCAAAAGTACCCCAATCGCATTTCAAGGGGGTTCCCCGGTAAAAATCGCGTTCCGGGTTTAGTCATTCTTTGACCGTATGTCTTTGACAGCTACCCGGTTCACTGATCTGCGCATGCGCTGCTAATAGCCCCGCTGCTATGGAGGGAGGAATATCAGTGAACGAGAAATATGAGTCAATGGAGAACGTGAGCGATTCGTTCACCTAAAAGATTAGTTCAAAAAGAACGATTCGTTCACGAACGTAACACCACTACTGTTCCGAATTATTTTATATTTGCCTGTTCATTTATTTTTTATTTTTCCCGAACGAATTGGAGTCGTGACCTGTCAACAGCGAACAAAAACTGAAATTACACACATTTCATTCACGAGCTACATGTACCAGTTCAGTCACTTCATTCACAAACGAGATCAGGGTTGCCAGGTTTTCACAACAAAACCCGCCCAATGGCTACTCAAAACTAGCCCAAAAGTACCCCAATCGCATTTCAAGGGGGTTCCCCGGTAAAAATCGCGTTCCGGGTTTAGTCATTCTTTGACCGTATGTCTTTGACAGCTACCCGGTTCACTGATCTGCGCATGCGCTGCTAATAGCCCCGCTGCTATGGAGGGAGGAATATCAGTGAACGAGAAATGAGTCGTATTACGTGAAAAGTTCATTCACCTAGAAGATTAGTTCAAAAAGAGCGATTCGTTCACGAACGTAACGTCACTACTGTTCGGTCGGTCCCGAATTATTTTGTATTTTACCTGTTAATTTTTATTATTTTTTTGAACGAATTTGAGTCGTGACACGTCAACAGAGAACAAAAACTGAAATGTGAACACCGGAAGGGTCAGATGTGATCTGCGAGGTCCTGCAAACATACGGAAAAAATCAGGTAAGGAAAAGGCTATCTTTATAACCTTTCAAAAAGGTGTGTGTGATGCTCATCTGATGATGTTGTGTGTGTGGCTGGTAATTTGTTAATGTCTGTCTTTTAGAGATTTTTCAAATTTTTCTGATGTGAATGCCATGCTTTAGGTGTGTTTTTAATCATATAATAGTCTCAAAGATAACATGCTCTGTTCGTTTTTTCTGAACATGTAATCGCAAATGTCGATACAATTTAAATGAATTAAGATTGTTTAAAGCAGTGGTTCTCAATGTGGTACGAGTAGCACTAGTGCTGCTCAGGCTCTCTCTAGTGGTACGCAGAGGAGTCACTAAATTAAATATAAATAAATGTTATTTAACATTTTAATGTAATCTTTATTTGGGTAATGTATGTGTGTGTGTGTGTGTGTGTGTGTGTGTGTGTTTTCTTAAACTTTCGGTACGAACCATTTTAATTTAGTAATTTTTTTTTTTCAATTTCTATCTGTATGTAAGCACAGTACAGTGTTAATGTTCAAACTGTATTTACAATGTTAAAGTGGCTAACAACAATAAATATTCTTATTAGGAATAAAACTGCCTCGTTTTTGAACTGTGCAGCGCTGTAGCTGAATAGTTAGGCCTACTACGCTACTGAAATTTAATGTTGGTCATTATGGTGGTACTGGGAGAGCCAAATATTTTCTGAAGTGGTACTTGGTATAAGTTTGAGAACCACTGGTTTAAAGGAATGGTATAAAAAGAAATCCAGCTTTTTAAGAACTTCTCAGTAAACCATTTCTTCTTTCCCCTTGTGGAGTCCTCAAGGATGCAGCTTATTGGTAAGGAATTGTTCATCTGCTACATTGCACTGTCACTTCTGGTAGAGATTCATTGACCTTTTGTGATAGGTTTTGATTTGATAAAGGTTTTGATAGTGAAGTGACATATATGTGAACATATACCCGGAGCAGTGGGCAGCCATTTTTTTTGCTGCGGTGCCTGGGGAGCAATTGGGGGTTCGGTGCCTTTCTCAAGGGCACCTCAGTCATGGTATTGAAGGTGGAAGAGAGCGCTGTACATTCACTCCCCCCACCTACAATCCCTGCCGGTACGAGACTCGAACCCACAACCTTTGGGTTACGAGTCCGACTCTCTAACCATTAGGCCACAACTTTTTACTTGGAAAGCGCACAAGTGGGAGAGAGCGAGGGGACGGCATCAGAAAGGACCTAGAGCTGGGACTCTTTCAAGGATCACCCGAAGCACAACCACGCTATATGCACAAGGCTGTTGGTTCTAACATTTTTATCAGAATTTGAAGAAACCTTTCTACTTTCCCCTTTACCACCGACACGGTTTCTGTTGCAGGCTCCATTCTCAAACTGTTCAACATTTTCACTGCACAAATGTACAAATATCTTGTAATGAGACGCATTAGTAAAACATGTTTTCATAGAAACTATAGGTTTTCACCAAAATAAAAGATCAACTGTTTTCAGTCAAAAAAAGTACTAGGGTTTCTCTTGCAAGTGCAGTGCAAAATATGCATGTTATTTTACAAAAACTCTATTTTTTTTGTCTTTATTGTATTTGTATTGTTCTTCTACAGGTTTTTAACAATGCATCCAAACAATGCAAGCTAAAGTTCGGGGTTATTTTGATCTGTTTTATACAGTATATTTCCAAAATTAAACGGTTTTACAAAATTGAGCACGTGGTAGTTTATTGAAGTTGATTGTAAAGCCATTGCTGCTAGTAATTTTATTTTTAAACTTTATGAATGTAGTGTTGATCTAAATGCAAACTAGGTTCTAATTGAACGTACAGTGGCGTATTAACCCATGTTGAAAGGTATGACGGTAAAACAACATCAAAATGTCAACGTTGATCCGATATGGATATTGATATTTCTATTTACCCGTTTCAATATTTTATTTGCTAGTTTTTAGGTTAATTCCATATGCCTTGATACAAGTATTCAACCACAAAGTTAAACGAGGTTACACAGGGGTGAAGAGAGCATGTTTCAACATCAAGCGGAGGTGAACCAAACGAAGACTACGATGAAGAAGAGGAAGATGCAGACAGCAATGTAAGAGACAGAAGAAGGACATCCGTCATTAGTTTCAGACATTGATATATAATTGGAATTACCCCAAAAGTAGTATTAAAAGTCTGAGGAGTAAACCACTCTTCAGATGCTGCCTGCATTAAGCGTGAAGGACACCTGATACCCTAACGAGGGGCACTTAACAGCATCTCCGATATTGCTGTTTAGAGTTTGATTACAGAATTTTCGCATTAACTGCTTTGTATTGTAACTAAAATAAGCGATTTTATTGTTACGATTGCCTCCCATAAGACTTCATAACTTCAAACTGAGCTTCAAACAATAACAACCACAAGGGAGACTTCTACGTCACTCCTGAAGAACTTAAATCTGCTGGCGGGTGAGTACTTCATGGTTTAGGCTAGATTTGACTAACCTTACCCTACCTGATTAATCAAGGGTTAAAGATGTAAGATACAAGGACACACTGACTAACACATATGCAGTGTTGGGCAAGTTACTTCCAAAATGTAATACATTATATTACTAGTTACTGTCTTTTGAAAGTAATGTTACATTACAATATTACTGTCTCTGAATTGTAATGCGTTACACTACTTTTGAGTTACTTTCACCAAAATATCCACATTAGTATTATAAAATGCCAAAATGTAGTCTATTGCTCATTCTACATCCAGTGGAGGGTAATGTGGTAGGTCTATATAGCATAAAATTCTAAAATCATATTTAGATACCGGTATGTAGGTCTACATTAATGTTACGTTGTAGTTTAGGTTAAACACAGATACGCACAAACGGCATTATTCATAATAATAAATAACACCAGTAAATAAAGCGAAATGTTATAATGTACAAACAATAAACAGAATATCTAGCCTATAGGCTATTTTTTGAAGGGTTTCAGAAGAAAACAAGAATGAAAAATATAAGTTGCTAAACAAGCCAAAATAATTAGGCTGGCCAATTCAATGCGAAACTGAAAGCAAATGGCGTTCTCGCGCAGCCTACCTCTCTTAATCGGCATTAATTTATTAAATGTGTCCATATTTGCGATGTATTTGAATGCTAAACTATTATTTATTATGTAAACCAGGCTTAAGTTACTTAACACGCTTAAAAAACATCCTCGTTTGGCCCGAGCTCAGGCGGAACGGAACGGATTGTACGCAGTATGCACAATATCAATATCAAAAGTTTTTGAACAGTAAGATTTTTATGTTTTTTAAAGAATTATCTTCTGCTCACAAAGCCTGCATTTATTTGAATCCAAAATACAGCAAAAGCAGTAATATTGTGAAATATTTTTACTATTTAAAATAACTGTTTTCTATTTGAATATATTTTAAAATGTAATTTATTTCTGCGATTTCAAAGCTGAATTTTTTGCATCATTACTCCAGTCACATGATCCTTCAGAAATTATTCAAATATTCTGATTTGCTGCTCAAAAAACATTTATTATTATTATTATTATGTTGAAAACATAAGGTTTCTTTGATGAATAGAAAGTTCAGAAGAACAGCATTTATCTGAAATAGACATTTTTTGTAACATTATAAATGTCTTTATCGCCACTTTTGATCAATTTAAAGCATCCTTGCTAAATAAGAATTATATTACATTATGTATATACTGACTCCAAGCTTTTGAATGGTATATGTATAATGTAACAAAAGCTTTTTATTTCAGATAAATGCTGATCTTTGGATCTTTCTATTGGATCTTTCTTACTGTACAAAAATTTTTGACTGGTAGTGTATGTACCCTCATATCACATCTTGTTTTGGATAAGAATAAAACCTCAGGTCCGACAATGTCTTTTTTTATTTAAATCTAGCTTTATTCGAATTGGCCCATGCAGGGGCGGACTTACCCATTAGGCAAAGGTAGGCGACCGCCTTGGGCCGGTGTTTATTACCACGACAACCGTCCGAGTCTGTGGCGCCTGCAGGTGTAGGGCTGTACGCACTGTGAGTACCATGAGCGCTCAGACTGATCTGAGATTTGCCCCGCAAACATTTCGACTGAACCCATACCGTTAATTATGAATTTATTAGTCTTTTCAGCATAGAAATATTACGTCAATATCTGCATAGAAATATTACGCCAAATAGAAGCAGAAAATCGTGCTATACGCACTTTCATGAGATCGGCTTAGCCTACAACAATTAATTTGTTGGCTATTTTACAAATGGGAATACAACGAATTCATGACAATGTTTACATTCCAGCTACCCGTAAAATGTATAGTGAAAAGTACTTTAAAAGCGTCTGGAATGCAATAGAGTAATTTTAAAGCTGTTTTTTAAAGCATTTGCTGCATGGATAAAAAATATAAATAATTAACATATCATACAGAATTGCGTTGCAGCAAATCCTTTAAATTTTAAGGTATTCAGAACAGAGCAACATAAAAATCAGAAAAAGCTGCAAAACAATTATAGGACAAAGTTTTCATATATGCTATTGTAATTAGTGTTTTATTGTTTTAACTGTTCGGAAATATAAAATAAAACGCAAATTATAATCGGGCCTTCCATCAATTATAGTGATGAAAAATGACTCGCCATCTCCTAATTGGATGTGCCTTTAGAGAGAAATACACGGATTTCATAATGAAATAATTTATTTTAATAGGAGTCTATTTTCGATTTGAATTATTTCGTTTTAAAATAGTAATTTAAAGCTTTCTATATATTTTGATCATGTCTGAGTTACTGGGTTAATCATTGTGACGCGCTCCTGTTCAAGACCTAGACGGCAGAAAGCGTTTGTTTTCTTTATTTTATAAAAGCAAATATTTGTTGATATTGTGAGTGCACACAAATAAAACTAGACCCTTTACAGTTTAGAATGACGTATTACTCTTA